AGAGAAGCTGTGGATGCCCCATCCCTGGAAGTGTTCAAGGCCAGGCTGGATGTGGCTTTGAGCAAACTGGTCTAGTGCACGGTGTCCCTGCCCACGGCAGGGGGGTTGGAACTAGATGATCTTTAAAGCCCCTTTTGACCCAAACCACTCTATAACTCATACACCCACAAGTAGTGGGGTTATGAACCCATTGTGCCTGGGCTGTCCTTGCTCCCCTGAGTACTCACACCTCTTCTCCAAAGCAGTGAGCCGCAGTTAAAATCCACAACGCGCTGATCATGGTGCCTCCGCAGATGTGTCTCCCATTGCTCTGGATGCTGACATGCCATGGGAACTCCCCCACCGTGGCAAATCTCCCCGCTGCGATCCTCTTGCCAGTATCCACAAAGGACTCGTAAGATGGTCGGAGGCCACATTCTGGGTACAAAACGAGACACGTTGCTCACGTACAGCGGTGCCGCTGCCTGTGCTACTAAACTAGAGGGGCAGGACATCAGCTAAAGCACTGGTCTACAATTATCCATGCTACTTGAGCTCTACCAAAACCCCAGGCCTCAGGGTAGCCTCCCCAAACTTGCACTCTGCCAAGCAAAGTCCAAGCAGTTTGGGGGCTTAGAGCGTTTCCCATAGGCAGGCTGGATAAACTCCTTGTTTATGGAGCGTGAGTTCCGTATCAGGCTGCATTACAAGCCGCACGCATATGCCATGCAGTACAAGGAATAAGCCCAGGCCTATTTCATTTACAGCTGTGTTTATATTCTGCAGGGCTACCAGCAGTTCCTCTCTGCTGGCCACTGCTGAACATCAAAAGTCGAGATGACAAACCTGCGTTGATGCTGCTGGTCAGAGAAGTCAGACAGAAGAGGATAAGGAGCAGCAATTTCATCCGTCTTGGACCAAAACTCTTTAACAACATTCAGAGCAGTGATGCTTCCCCCATTCCACGTTCTCACCAAAGGCACCACACCTCTCTGCTGGGACAACCAGGATGTGACATCACAGAATCCATTCGGGGACAACCAGGATGTGACATCACAGAATCCATCCGGTTCCGCTGACATCACAGCTGGAGGCTGCCGTTCCTAGGGGATGAGGGGTTGCTCAGTGGTTTCCAAGAGTCTTGGGACTTGCTTTAGCTGTGACAGGGACAGGGCAGCAGTGAAATTCCTGTCTGCATCCTGGACTATTGTAACAGTGGCTTCACGAGTTGGGTGCTGTAGCCCTTTTTGGCTCCTGAACCATGTTCTTCTCTCCGAAGACTTTGGATGCTGGTCCTACTCAGCTTTCATCTTCGACTCTGAGAAGTGCTGAAGCCTATCAAACTCTGAATTAGTCTTCTCTTCTCCATTTAGACCATGTCTATCTTCTCAGAAGAAAGAGGCAGCTCTGTGGTAGGGTAAATTTCAAACAGTGCCACATCAAAAGTGCAGTATCAAAGATGCTGAGGCAGCCACTCCCTTCTTCCCTGTGGGCAAGGGTGGCTTACAACACCAAATCCATCTTAAAAAAAACTAATTAATGAGGCTGAATCATTAATATTTCACCTTTACTGATTATATCCCTGCTAGTCTGTACCTTCAGCAGCAACTGCAAGGTGTCGAGGCCAAAACTCCACCTTACATTAACACCCTAAGTAATTCTGTGGCAGCTTAATATTTTGGCGTGGGCCGATTTTAGCATCAGTGGGTCCCCCTATGCTGATTTCTAAACCGACACATTATTTCCATCAGGAAAGGACTGAAAAACCCCTCAGGTTCAGACTTGAGCCCAGCTGTATTAAGGACAGAATGGTGCTTTCTCCAAAGACTCTCCAGCTTGTTTCAAAGCAATAACTACAGCGTGGAGTAGGAAGAGAGGAGAGGAAAGGACAGAAGGGAACCAAGCAACATTTTATGAGAACCCGAATGATTCAGCACATGAAATGTTTTGCTTTGTACCTTGGAGCAAATCAGGAGTTAACCTACTGAAGTCCGAATTATGCAGAGGTTAAAAATACACAGGTTTAAAATAAGACTGTATTTTTCTTTCTTCTTTTATGTCATCTCATGCCCAGGAAATTAGACAAAGATTCTGGTTTCCTTGACAGTGGGCACTAGAACTATCCAGTGGCACAACAACTTAAAGACAGGAGATCAGTTACCACAGCAACTGGGAATCCCAAGCATGATGTGGGCACATTTTGGGGCATCTCCAGAAAGAGCCTAACATGGCAATTATGCCTGAGGCAGCTCTCTGGAATGAACTAAGCATCAGATGAGGAGCAAGGGGAGCTAATTTCTCTGGCATGGACTTACTGCCTTTCTTTGGATAAAGCAGGCAGGACTTCAGCAGTGGATTTACAAGCTCAAAGACTGACTCTCTGATGCATATTTGTAGTTGCTCCAAGCTAGGAACAAGATCTGGTCTGCTGAGTAGTTACAAGAGATGGTCAGAGAGCTGTTTTGGGCCTTTCTGAGCCTAAAACCTGAGCTGGTGTGCAGGAAGCATCAAGACATGGAGAGGAGCACCATGAACAGCTATCCAAAAGGAAATGCTGTGGATTTGTGTCGCTGATCCCACACCGTCTGGCCCTCAAAAAATGGTTTTATGTGCTCTGCTGCCCAGAATTGACACATCAAAGCGGGCTCCTACAAGCTACCCCAGAAGAAAGCACATCTGCAAGAGACAATGAACCACGTTCTTCAAACTTAGCGATTAAGACAGCCTCCGAAAACAGGAAACACATGAGAGGCTCAGGCCCCCACCAGCCACTGCTCTAGGACATACTGCAAGCAGCAAGTTGCATGGGTGGGACAAACCCATCCCCATCTCTCCTACTGAAGCTGTTTATCCTTGGATACTCCATAGCATATATATAACCCATAGGATCCCATATCCACGTAGGATAACCCCAGCATCCCCAACATGCTTTGGCCATAGCTTTCAGTTTCTACTCTGAGAACCCCATCAGTGAAATGAAAATTTATTTTGCCTCTTTCTGCCTGTCCTGGTATTTTGACTGTACACGCACTGGGGCAGAGACTGAACAGCACCTGACACAACGAGCTCTGGTCGTGGTGGGCGCTCCACAAGCTACTCAAGTACAAATAATTAATCACAGGAATAATTATGTTACCGTACGGCCAATACCAATTCTCCTCCTCTGTACTGTCATGCACGATAATAGAGATTTAAAAGCCCTGGTGTTTAATTAGCAGGCTGAAGCCTTTTATAATACTTGATACTTTTTTTAGATTTACCCAGATATATACTTAGAGACATGGAACACATTGTAGACGACTTTCTTCTTTTTTTTTTTTTTTTTGGTAATTTATTGTAGTGCAGCAAACAAAATCGATTTCTTTTTGTGTTTATACACATTTCTGGAACTGTCAATAGAAGTATCACATTACAATTTTTACTTTTTCTTACTCAAATTGTGTCAGAAAATAGGCACTATAGGTGATACTACACGCTGCTGTAAAAGTGGAAGTGTGAAAGAATTACTGATCTTATAAATTCACCATTCTCAAATGCATCAAATTACAGGGTTGTGATAGTTAAGATGAGCCCAGCCCTGTCTCCAGAAGTCAAAGCTCTCATAACATCAGCAAATTCATTAACTCAAGAGAATTAACACGTCTAAAGGCATCAGCTATGCAAAGGAGTTAGTAGGGGCAACCACCTCCTAATTCATCCTTTTAACAGCAGTTTAAGCCAAATTTCCTTCCTCTCCGGATTGGAAGATTGCAGGGAAACCTAGTGAGCTGCACAGAGCAAGAAGCTGCATTTGCCAACAGGCGCAATTTCTGCCTCTACTTTGGATTTTAATGTTGGCGAATGCTCAGGTTACGGAAAGCCACCCCAACAGGTTCCCAGATCTTTATGCACTGATGCTGGGGGTGTACTGTAACACCTATTGGAGTTATCGGTCTTTTTTCACGCTCCTAAAAATAAACATGGAGGCGGTGGAGTAATCGAAGGCTATTTCTTGATCCCAATAGGGCAGGAAAGCCCTGTTCCCCCGAGGCCACAGTATCCGCCGGGGTTCTTACTGAGGTACTGCTGATGGTAATCTTCGGCGTAATAAAACTCCGGAGCCTCACGGATTTCTGTTGTGATGGGACCAAAACCACTCTCTGTCAATACCTGTCAAAAAACACGATGGAAAGCCATTAGTGGTTTGCTGGTTTCTCTGTTGATGAATGACATTAGGTTTTCTCTCAGCAGGAGCCACAGACATCTCTCAGCGCTTGGACCACATTTGCAGCACATCCCTGAAAGCCCTTTATCCTTGCTCTCGTGTTCTTTTGCTAGGAGACATTGTGGGCACCAAAGCAGGGGTTGGTGAGAAGAGGTAGTGCCCCCTCCTGTTTTAATGGCTCATTTCCTTAATTTGCTGTGGCCGCACATTCCTTCTCTTTATTAACCACGCCAGGCAGGGATGTGGTGCCATCAACGACAGCGGAAAACGAACGTGGAAGGCAGCAGAACACACTTTGATCAAACCTGGCCAGTTGCTTGAACGTCACCTGGCAGGTGTCTCAGCTCTGAAATGTGCTATCCCCCCTCAAATGTCCTGATGCCATGAATAATTTCCGGGTGAAATTTTAGCCTCACTGATGGGATTGAGGAATAAGAGTATTTGGGCTCTTTTCACAGTCACTGTACACGCATTCTTCAAAAATACCAGTTCCATCATGACCAGAATGGTATTTTTAAGGCAAATTATGGCTCGTTTCTGAAAGATTTGCCAGTAAGTGGGACCAGGAGCAATAATCCTTTTGCAAGAAAGGAAGGAATGTGGGTGGGTATTTTAAATTAGACTTTAACTTCTGCCTGTTATCCCCTAACTGAATTTGAAACTTATGAAAAGTTTCTGACAGAGGGACTTTCTTTTTCACATGAATTGCCATGGCATTTAGCCCACTGATTTTTCCTTTTCTAAGGAAACTGGTAAGCACGAAGATTTTGGAGACAATCCTTATCTCACTGGGGACACAACGTGTGTTCACCAAAGTCCATAATAACCTGATAAACACTTTCATTGGTGTCAGAGTATTGTTGCACTGAAGTACTGGACGTATACAGAATTGCATTGTTGTCAGACAGACCTGACATTAAATCAACTGTAAGAACGAAGGGTTAGCAGTTAAGATTACTAGATAAACATGTGTTATCTCATCATACTAAATAAATAAAACCGCTAAAAGAAAACCACCACACAGAAACACAAAACCAGAGCTGGCCGACCTGTAGTAAATTATTGAGTACCACTTCTTTCCTCATGATACAATGAACAATCACTGCCTTAGTCCCAGCACACACTTAACTGTACCTGAAAGATCCTTGGAGGTCAAGATCCTCCAGTTTCCTCACAGTCCATTCCAATATTTACAATCCTGTTAGAGAGTTTCTCCTAAAGCCTAGCCCAATTAAGCCCACTACTTTCATTTCAACCCACTACTGTGGTTGTACTCATCACGGATGTGCAAAGGAAATCATTCCCTTCCCCTTTATATAGTCTTTGACATACCTGGTGGCTGGGCAGAGAGAAAGATGGCAAATGGAAAATAATGGAAATAATGCTTCATCACAACATTAGGTAACAGTTAAATAATAGGTGATTATTTGGGGCCAAATTTTTTCACATTTCCTACAACAGGGTTTCCTCGATCCTGCCTCAGCACAGCTAAGCACTGACCACAGTCAGAGATAAGTTGCTGGACTTTGTAGAGCATTAGTCTGATTTATTCAGGTAATTTCCCTGTCTGGAGGATAGATTTTTCTGTATTCAGTCTTCAGTCAGGAACAATCTAATAAGATTTATACAAAACCCATGATCAACCTACCTGGGGAGCCCCTGGTTTCCCAACCCTCCATCTAAATTCTCAGCGCAGGTTAGGA